ATGAATTGTCACTGACTAATTAGCTCAGTGAGATAGAAATTGATTCTTAGTCTCAGAGGTTGTGAGTTCAAGCCTCAGCTGATGCAAAAGGCAGAATGTGTTGTTAAATTCCCAAGTGTCTTCCAATTCTTCTGCTTGTTGCTCAGAGCTGCCTAAAAATGCCCGGACCCGACCCATCATCCATATAATTTTTGTCTTATAATTCTTTAACTTTAATTGTATATTACTGAATTGTTTGATTTTATGATCTATGGATACAATGCTGCTTGTTTTTAATTGTGTCTTGTAAGGTGTCCTTGAGTGCTCTGAAAGGCACAGGCTATAATTAAAATGCATTATTATTATTATAATTGTCATAATCATTAAATTAGCTATAGAAATCAAAGCTGTTTTTATCAAGATGTAAACATGTTAATTTCTGCTGTAAATTTGGGCACGTAACATGGAGGTTTATGGAGATTGACTTGCTTTTGGAGCCAGCCTCAAGTGGCCATTTGAGGAACTGCAGTTTTTGGCACTCCTGAATTGGCCACTTGATAACAACACATCTGTGACAAGCTAGAATCAGGTATATCTATGTGTAGGTCTGGATCCAGTATGTTCACATGAGACAAATCACAGATCAGGCAGAATAACAGCACACACATAAATTCACCTTTAACAGCTCTGGATCGATGCCCTTAATTTTGGGTGCGGGAACCGGTGGCAACAGAATCATCATCACTCTGCAGCGACAGGGAGAGGAGGAGGACAGGATGAAGGTAATCTGTTCCCAGTTGTCAGTACCTTTGTGTGTGTATGCGTGGCACAGTCGAGAGCTGCGCTGCACAGTCTGCTGCTGCTTTTACAAACATCTCGCCTGCTGTAACTGCCATCGTTAATGCAGCAGAGGCTGAATATATTTTGGATGCTATTTGTGAACGGTGCATGAAAGAATGCGAGAGTCTGTTCCTACCTGTGCTGCTGAGAGACGACGATTAGCATGATGAGTATGAGGATGCCCACAATCCCAAAAATAAGAACCAAAGTGAGTGGGAAGGTAGACTCTGAAAGACAACATGAAACCCATCATCATTATCAGTGTTCCTGGTGGTACAGGGGCGTGCACCCTGTGTGTCTGACTTGAACGACGCAGTACCAAACGACTGATTGCTCATCTTACCTTTGCTGGGAATCTCAGTCACTTGAATGAAGATGGAGTCGCTGAACTCTCCAAACTTAGTGAAGGCCTGCATCCTACAACGGATGTGTAGCTCATACTCTTTTCCTATGTGCAGACCATAGATTGTCCGCAAGGTGTGCGGCTGCATCTCCAACTGCAATACAGAAACACATAGGAAGAGATACAGAGAAAGAAAAAAAAACACAGGGAGGGAATTATGAAAAAGTGTTTTTGCTGTTTTAAAAGACGAGAAAATGATTCAGGTTTTACTTAACCTGACAAAAACAACTGCAGCAGACTGGAGCTGAACAAGATGTCAAGTGGTCTATGTTTACTTATGGTAAATATAACAGTGACCTTTCCAAAGGTGCAATTGTTGAGGCATTTCAGATACATTAGATGGAGGACATACTGTTATAATGGAGGGCTTTAAAACAGTTTCCAAGGCTGCATTTGTCAGACTGGCTGGCCCGGTGGTAATGAATATGAGTCTGTACAAGGTCCCATGGCCTCTGACCTACAGATCCCTCCCTTCACTTCCTTCAGAGAGGCAGTGTTTTCCCAGAGGGCCTTGCTCCGACTTCCACTGCCTTGCCAACAAAGCTACATTGCATTTTAGCCACAAGAGTTCAAGGGGGGAGGGGGAAGGAAACACGACACTGTGGCTGTATGACCTACCTACAATTTACTTTAAAGAGGGTGCATAAGTGTTTGCATTTGTGTCAGCCTGTGCACATACACAGAGGCCTTTTGTTAAGTTTTAAGGTGTGTGTTTACATGCGTCAGGACATGCAACGGTGCGTGTGCATAAAGGCAAAGGAGGAAGAGAGAGAGACTTTAAGAGCAAGTAAGGAGAAGACTTACTGCTTCCCAGTTTGTGGTGTTTCTCTCTCTGTACTGGATCTCGTATTCAATGCGCATCCAGCCCGCCCCGACGTCTGCAGAGGGTGGGGGCTCCCAGTTGACCATGACATCATAGATGAGCCCGGAGGGACTTATATTCAGCAGAGTCCAGTTTAGAGACACTGGTGGGTCAGGCCGTACTGCAAGGAAAAGAGCAAAAGTTTAGTTTGAGCAGAATGGAAACATTTAAAGTTATTTATATCATGTTTATAAACATGGTAAATTAATGGGTGGCTGTGAATGCACTTGATCATATTTACAAGAACAAATAAAGAATACATCAAAGAAGCTGCTGCTTATGATCTTTAAGTCAATCAAATTTAAAAGTCAACAGTAGACCTATATAGCAGAGGTGACTCATACAGTACCATGAGCAGGTTTATGTGCTAGAATGTTGTGCCGTATATGAACCTGCAGAGCGACTGCAAGTTACACTTGTCTCTTCTGAGTTAAAGGTACAGTAGGTAACGTTTATAAACTATAACTTCTTGTCATATTTGCTGGAACTGTCACTATATTCACACAGCACTGAGTGAGGCAGATAATCTTAAAAAAAAATCATACTTTTCTGCCTACTCTGTTGCCTTGTAGCATTTCTGATGGCCTTACTGCAAATGAATGAAAACAGCCTATCACAGTCAAGCAGGGTTTATACTTCTGCCTCAAATTGACGCTGTACCTGACGTGTAACCTCCCAGAAATGTAATTAAACGTCACGGCAACGCAGA